AACTGGATATTGGCTGTGAGGCTTTTGCAAACTACTTCATAGACAAAGTGTTGTTGCTCCACTGTGACCTCCCCGCCACAGTTGAGACAGTGAGTGAACTCGAGGCTCCATGCATGTCTTCGAGCTGGGTTATGGATCATTTCAGTCCACTCAGTCTAGAGGAAGTTGACAAATTGCTCCTAACTGTACGCCCCACCACGTGTCTCCCTTGCCCATCATGGCTAGTGAAGGCTGGCCGCACTGGGTTTCAAGGTGCCCTAGGGGAGATCATCAACAAATCCCTCTTGGAGGGTCAGTTCTCTGGGACACTCAAGGAGGCTGTGCTTCATCCCCTCTTGAAAAAAACATCTTTGGATCTGGCCAAATTAGCTAATTATCGGCTGGTCTTCAACTTGCCCTATTTGGGTAAGTTAATTGAGAGGGCTGTGGCAGACCAGTTACAGAGCTTTTTGGATGACACTTCCACTCTAGACCCCTTCCAGTCCAGTTTTTGCCTGGGACATGGGACAGAGACAGCACTGGTCAGCCTCATAGACGACCTCAGGAGGCACCTGGATCGAGGCGGATCAGTAGTGCTTTTGCTGTCAGACCTGTCAGCAGCATTCAACATGATCGATCAGCAGCTACTGATCCACCGCCTTGCCGACTCTGGAGCTCAGAGGCTTTCCTTGCAATGGCTTGCATCCTTCCTTCAGGGTCGGGGACAAAGGGTGGCACTAGGGGAACAACTGTCCCAAAGGCATCCACTGACTTGTGGTGTGCCTCAAGGGGTAGCACTCTCTCCAATGTTGTTCAACATCTATGTGCACCCCCTTGCCCAGATTGCCCAGAGGCATGGCTGCGGTGTCACCAATATGTGGATGACACCCAGCTCTATCTGATGTTGGGCAGTCAGCCTGGCTCTAGACCGGAAGATCTGGACCAGGCATTACAAACCGTGGCTGGTTGGCTTAGACTGAGTCAACTGAAACTGAATCCGACAAAGACGGACATCCTGTGCCTGAAATGGGGTGGCCCAAGGGTAGGGATTCCACTCCTAGCCTTCGATGGGTCACAGTTGGTGCCAGCGTCGGAGGTTAGGAGTCTGGGATGCCTCTTTAACAATGGAGGCCCAGGTAGCAGCCACTGCCAGGTCAGCCTTTTACCACCTTCTGCTGATCAGGCACTTGGTTCCCTTCCTCGTACACAACCCTTTGGCAACAGTGATCCATGCAATGGCCACCTTGAGATTAGACTACTGTAATGCTCTCTAAATGGGGCTGCCCTTGTCCCAAATCCAGAAGCTGCAGCTGGTGCAAAATGCTGCGGCCAGGCTGTTGATGGGCCTCTCTATGAGGGAGCACATCCAGCCTGTGCTGAAAGCATTGCACTGGCTGCCAATAGCAAAAGCCCTTTATGGTCAGGGTCTGGCATACCTGAGGGACCACTTTTCCCCATATGTTCCCCAGAGAGCACTGCGTTGAAGGGTCCAAAACCAGTTGCCCCCCCCCAGGCCCCAAGGATGTCAAGCTGGTGATAACCAGGGCCAGGGCCTTCTCAGTCCCAGCTCCGTACTGGTGGAATGAACTCCTGGAGAAGATCAGGGCCCTGTGGTACGTTTCACCGTTCCGCAGGGCCTGTAAGATGTAGCTCTTCCACTGGGCCTTTGATTAGGAGCTGCTTAAACACCTTAAACACTGAGGAGTGATCCTGTCCCCTTGCTTTACCACCTTCAGCCTGGCTCTCCGCATAAACCACTCAATCAAACTGAGCCATTGTGAGAATGCCATCAGAATTAACACCGAAGTAGTGGTATGGTCTAATCTAGGAATTTTGCTCTTGCACTTTAATTGATCCAGCATTTTAGGAAAGTGAATAATATATTGTTTGTATGTTTTATGTATGTTTTAACTGTATTTTTATATATGCATTTTATGTAAGCCGCCCTGAGCCTGCCCCGGCGGGGAGGGCGGGGTATAAATTGAATAAATAATAAAAAAAATTACTCCAACATTCAAGTTCCATGAGGCTAACCTTGGGAATCAGTGAGTTTATTCCAGACTTTGCTCTCAGCTAAACAGTTGGAGTAGGAGGGCAATTACAGAAAGTTAAATAACAGAAATTCTTAATATTAGATGCCCAGACATTGACTATGAGGAGTATTTTCAAGGCTAGATGAACAATATATTCTCTGTCTCCCTATAATTTTCTAGTGCTTGGGAAGTATATGACGACTTTGTAAAATATATTAGCTTGTAACTGTGCTGTCCCCTAGCAGTTTCTCAGCAAAGTGCAACTTGAGGTGATTAAAGGTCTGTATTTGCTGTGCAAACACGCTAATTAGCCCTATTTATGTTTCCTAAGCCTGTTTCTAAAACTATCACTTTTACTTTACAGCAGTTGATGGTTACCCAATTCTTTTTACAATAAGTACTAACTTATTGATGTGTTCAATACCCATAGAGTAGTTTAACTGGAATAAACCAGTTGGCAAGGCTATTTGCACCATTACTGTCTTCATTCTTCTCAAAGTACAAGCTCAGCAGGCACAGAACACATTGCACAGAGGTGACTGACTGGTTTAGCACTTTAATTTTTCAGCTGTTGGTGTAAAACTTAGCAAGTATATATAAGTAAATGACTTTAAAACACATGTCACTTTTGCTGACATTGTAGAGAAAAGCTTTCTCAGCTAAACTATCATGATTTGAAAAGAAAGTTATTGACAGTGGGGCAGATTCTCTCAACAATTAACTGAATTATTCTACTCTACTCAGTGGCTCCAAATGTTACTGAGGAGACTTTATTAATATGGGCCTTGCTGCCAAAAGAATAGAGGGCTATTTAATAAGAGAGAGAGAGAGATCGGGTGGGGAGAGAATAGGAGATGCATAATTCATGGAAAATTACTATATAGCCTAAAGGAACAAGAAGCTAATTTGAAAAAGAATGCTTAGCACATGGACTCTAATGGATTATCAGGTATTTCCTGAAATGCAAAGACAAAAGTAGCTTTCTTCATTCATTTATCAATACGACCTCCCCCTCCCTACTGCCTTTCAATAGACATTTAACAGGAGAACAGAGACTGCTAATCTGTGAACCACATACAGTGATACTGTTTTCATATGTGGAATATGATAATTTCATTGTTGTTTTTGTGGGGTATGCAAGCTAAATATGCTGACAATTTTTTTCTGAGTCAAGTGTGGCACCTTTCCTCAAACTGTCCCCAAGCTGAGCATGTGTGTATGTACCCAGTACTCCATACCTTTTTATTGGTCTATATCAGAACTACATGGAACATAAGACCTCTGAAATAAAGGTCAAAGAGTATTCCATATGAAATTGTGAAGGAATGTTCAGTTGTCCAATACTAACCTCTGGGTAGACAAGCAAATCCAATCTCTGTTTCACAGCTCTAAGATAATTTACATATGTTTGTGGGTTATTCAGTGAATCCCGAAGCACTACAATTCTTTTAATCATGCAAGATATCCTGGCCTGTTCAGAATGAAACTGCCCTTAGTTTCTTAAAATTAAGCAATTTCTTAAAATTAAGCAATGTAGTGGTTAAGTGTGTGGACTCTACTCTGGGAGAACTGAGTTTGATTCCCCACTCCTCCACTTGCACCTGCTGATGTGACCTTGGGTCAGTCGCAAGCTCTGGCACAGCTGTCCTTGAAAAAGAGCAGTTTCTGTCAGAGTTCTCTCAGCCCCACCCACCTCACAGGGTGTCTGTTGTGGGGAGGGGAAGGGAAAGGAGTTCGTAAGCCGCTCTGAGACTCCAAGTGAAGGGCGGGGTATAAATCCAATCTCTTCTTCTCTCTTCTCTCTTCATCTGCATCTAGTATTTGCTCTGCTGTTTTACCAAACCCACTCTGGAACAGAAAAAGATGCAGGTCAAAACCACATTCAAAAACCCAGGGCCAATGCTGTACTGACTGCAGTCACCCCTGCATAGCCATAAAATGGCCATAAATCGATGCAGACACTACTATAAAACCGAGAGATCAAATGAAGTGAAAATGGCATGCAGTCTGGACGCTGCTATAAACTCCCACAATCAATCAAAGTGAAAGTGGCATGCAATGCAGAGGGAAATATCTGTTCCAGAGTGGGTTTGATAAAACAGCAGAGCAAATGCTAGATGCAGGTTGGGCCATAGTATCAGAAATACCTAGCCAAGACTAACTTGCAGTCTTCATAGACCTGAATTCAACAATTTTATTTTCTGTGGTAGATCCATATCAGGTGACTGGCAGGATTTGGAATTGTTATTACTGCTTTCTTCATAGGTTCATCTGACACAAATTCTTGGCAGCATTATTCCCAGCACTGTTTTGTAACCATGTGGTTTTATTAATTGAGTAAAAATTCTTATGGAATAGCTGATGTCTGAAGCTGGCTTCATTCTTCACCAACAAACACTGGTAGTTTTGGTCTAGTTAACGGGCAAGGTGACAGCACGTTCCAGTGTTTTGTGTCCAAAAGTGAGGGAGTGCTGGCAAGAATAGAGTCCTTTTGCATAACTTTAGATTCTTAGAGATTCTGAAGTGCCATTGGAATGTCTGTAGGCATTCTTCATGGATGAAAGAAATTCACAGGAAGCATGAATTATATCCTCAGGACTCTTTGTATCACCACAGAGTTGTCAGTTCTGTAACAGTCATGCTGAGGTAAACACTAACATTGGTGCTTGAGGCTTTATGTAAAAAAGATTTGCTTGTTTTTGCACTTACTGTATAGCCATCTTGTCTACGTGGGGGGGAAAACTATGTGGGGAAAAATACCATTTATATTCTGTGGGTAATTTGAGTTTTATATTTATATATATATATATATACTAGCAGTAAAGCCCGTTGTGAAAGCAATACAACGGGATCTAGAAAGAGGCTCTGGGGCAGTGCTCTGGCTTTGTATATATATATAATGCAGTTTGGCTTTTTTAAAGCAAATAATTTCAATATATTTATACTTCCCTTTGTAAAGGTGTAACAAATACTTTATTGTCTTTAAAGTGAGTGATGAGGATGCTGGAAATCACTTTCTTCACCTCTACCTTGTGGAAGGACGACCTACAGCACGGTTTGGCTGTGGTGCTTCGCTGGATATTCTGATGGTGACTGCCAATTCCTCCATTAGTGAAAATGGCCTTGTGCCTATCACAATCAGGTATGAATTCCCCATGCTTTGATGCAAAGAGACTTGTGTATGCTTGCTAAAAATAGAGAAGATAGAAAAGTGAAATATAATTCTGTCTGAAAAGATTTAAGTATCTGAATCTAAATTCATTAGATTTCCTTCTGCAGATGAAAGGATACAGTTGCAAAAATCACTTATGTGAACTCATTCGTTCATTGGGCCAAGCCTAGATTTCTGCTTTTAGTTCATTCCAGTGCTATTACCTTGCTTTCAATTGGGTTAGTAGGAAAATATCTGTCATGTAGTACAGCATTTCTCTAATCCTATCATATTCCCTTTATTCTTGGTTTCCTGGCCTTTATATGCAGATTTAAAATATTTTTATTTTATTCTATTTTTCTTTACATTACTTATAGTCTACCTTTCTCACTTGGACTCCAGGCTGATTAGAGTGAGTCAATAAAATCTACAGGATAGGACACTCAATAAACAATACAATAGGATTAGAACTAATCTGAAATCTAAAAGCAGAAATGAAGCAAATCATAAGTATTACATTTCAGCAAGCTAAACGCAGTCCCTAATAATTTATCCAAGTAACTTTGTGAATCATTTAGTACAGTATAATTCTATTGCCTCTGTAAAAAAGCTCTCTTAAATAATTCCATTTTGCATAGTTTGTGGAAAGCTAGGAGAATGGGATCCTTCCTGATCTCCTTAGGCAGGCAGCTGGGGCCACAACAAAGAAGGTGTCTATATGAGCAGTTGTTGATTTTGCTCATTTGCTGGTTGGAAAATTGCAGTTTATGTATACAAGGATGCTTTAGGCTTTATTTTTAAAAAACACTTATTTTCATTTCTTTACTACATTATTAACTTTTGTTTTCCAGTTGATTTTAATTTTGCGCTAATGCTTTTATTATCTTGTTTGAAGCTTTCAGAAACTGTGCCATTAACTAAAAAGATGTTTATTTCACCTTGACCCGGATAGCCTAAGGAAGCCTGATCTCGTCAGATCTCGGAAGCTAAGCAGGGCCAACCCTGGCCAGTATTTGGATGGGAGACCTCCAGAGAATATCAGGACTGGGAGGCAGAGGCAGGCTAACAAGCCACTTCTCTGAATGTCCTCCATGCCCCAGTAGGAGTTGCCAGAGGTTGCCATGACTTCCAGGCATGACCACACACGCACACACAAAGAAAATGAAAAAAAAAATCTTATTTCCATATTTCAGACACTCAGGAAAAAGGGTCCTATTTTTATAAGCCATTGGAATTCTCATTTGCTGAGCTGGCAGAGTTTGGCACCATAAGTCAGGCAGCATTGAATAACAGGCATGAAAACATGCATTTGGCACCACTAGACAGGCAGGCAGGAGAAGAGAGAACTACTGAATTTGACACCCCCAAAAAAGATAGGCAGCATTACATGGTGAGCAAAAGCTGTTATTTGGCACCTATTAAATACTGGGCTTGAGGCAGCTCTTCTCAACAGTGATTTCTTTTTTTCAGCTCAGAACACAACACACAAAACAACCCAGCAACAATCCCCACTTATATACAGTCAAGAGCAGTCAAAACCACACCTCCTGACACAGTAATAACCAATCATAGTAAACACTACAGCAGACCTTATTTACATTTCCTGTTTCATTCTGGACTTCTCTGATTGGTCTGTTTTTTGGGCAGCCAATCAGAACAAGTGCTCAATTGTTAGCCAAATTGCTTTATCTACAGCAATTGGCAATTTATATGGGTTCTTGCCAGTTTATACCAAGGCTCAGTTCCCACCAAGGGTTACCAGTAAAGGGAGTCGAGGCTGGTGTTGCTCAAAATATCTGTCTTTTACTTCAGAATATAAATCACATACAAACAATACTGATGCACGCACACATTCAATCAAGTTTCTTAGAAACACAGAAGTAAAACTTAAGCACGTTTGCATTAGCAGGTAGGGTGATGATGGGTGATACTTATCTGTCCAGAAGCTTGTTCGTTCCAATGAAGAATGGATGGGGAGGAATAGAAATCTAGGGATGTTAACACACAGCTAGAACCAGCCAGCATGTGTGGGTCTCTTTGCTGCAGTTCAAGAGATCAAGTTGAGGCAAGGGTTTGGGTATAGCAAGTGGGACAAAAGAGGAGTTAAAGCAGACAGGGGTGTTGCAGGGATTGCGGTTAGCAAGGGCCAGGTGACTGGTCCTTACCTTTTATATGTGGTTCTTTGGGTGGTTGGCAACTGTGCCAACCTGTAGACCCACCTACCTGCTACTCCATCCCAAAACTAATCCTATTGGTTGCGTGTAGTGAGGGGTGGCAACCTAGAGGGTTGGGCAATATTGTAACTTAAGACCTAACTCAAAAGATGGCATCTGGGCAAGTGTGAAAGCTTGGTGTCAAGGAACCTCCTTGAAGTGCAGATGAAGCTCGGCCATTCCCTGGTCATAAAAGGCTCCATCTAGCAGGAAATGCCAATGTAAAATAAAGCAGAGATGCAGAATACGTGACAGCAGACAGTTCAACAATGGGGGCTGTTTCTCCTTAGGTTTTTCTTTTGCTGACAAAATGGAGATGTGTGCTTTCTTCACCAGGCTGGCAGTGTAGCTGACACCTACATTAACATGTAAGGCTTTGTGCAGGCACCTTCCATGTGTAGTATCACAACAGGTGACACGTAGAGCTTTCTGAGCCTAAGTGTGTGTGTATGCACAGTCCATGTAGTGTTTGACAGCAAATATAAATCCATAAAGCAAAATATCAGTCTCATCCTCTAACATCAATCATGCTAGCAAGCAATGCTATCTAACACAAGGCTCAGACATTAGCTGCTTCAATATAACTACCTCTATAAAGTAAGCCAATAGCAATGTTTCCCTCCAAAATGATTCCCTTCTGATTGGTTCACAGGGAAACTCTTAGGATCCTTGCAGACTATGAAGCTTGGCACAAAGCTCAGTCTCAGTAACAATACATAACAGCACCCAAAGAAAATCAAGCACAGGCTTGTATTATTCACTCAGAATTAAACAGGAAAGCAGTAGCACCTTGAAGACGAGAGCCAGTTTAGTGTAGTGGTTAAGTGCGTGGACTCTAATCTCAGAGAACCGGGTTTGATTCCCCACTCCACCACTTGCACCTCGCTGGATGACCTTGGGCAAGCCTAGTTCTGATAAAAACTGTTCTTGAAAAAAAGAGCAGTTTCTGTCAGAGCTCTCTCAGCCCCACCCACCACACAGGGTGTCTGTTATGGGGAGGGGAAGGGAGTTTGTAGGCAGCTCTGAGACTCCTCTGGGTAGTGAAGGGCGGGGTATAAATCCAATCTCTTCTTCTTCTTCTAACACAATTTATCCCAGCATAAGGTTTTTTGAGTAACAGTTTCCACAGATGCCTCACATGGGGCCTCATTCTTTGTTCTTTCCCAAGCTGTTTCTACAAAGACGACTGGCTCTGCCCCAGCTCTGATATTCCACTGAGGTTTTTCAGAGCATCCAAATGATGTTGTTATCCTCCTGTTCTTCTTCCATTGCTTTCCATGGTGTCCCATCATTTACTCTGATGTAAATGATGGGACACCATGGAAAGCAATGGAAGAAGAACAGGAGGATAACAACATCATTCAGATCATGGTCTCAGCAATTGAGATCACGGTTTCCTACATTGTGAGCAGGAAGGTGCACATTTTTACACCTCCAAGTCCACATCTGAGAACATTTTCAGTCCCCATTCGCTTGCACTCACCACTTCCCCCTCCCCCTCCCCGCAGCCACTAGAACCCCATGTGAAAGCAGCTGCACCAGGGAAAGTGAGATATATTGGAAACAATATTTTGCATTGCAAGCCCTGTTGCCCTCTGCTGATTGGAAATATTCCATGTTAGTTTAATTTTCTTTTGCCCCCCCAAGCTGGAATAACGAGGCAGACACGTTGCTGGATTTAAACATTGGGCCACTTTATTAACTACAACTTTAACTGGAACCAACGGCAAGGGCAAACAGTTTCTGCAGTATGGTCAAGGCCAGGGGTCCATGACCCCTCCTTAACTCATGAATTAGGGTGAGCCACCCTGCCCCAGGTGGTAGCCAGCAGCAGTGGCTCCCACCCGGACGGCTAACCATTGCGGGATAACCCTGTAGCCCTAACTCCTGAGCCGCTAGGCTCAAAGGGAGGACCCAAACGGGGTGGTCCCAAAGGCAGTCTGTTTTTCCTGCCCCGTGCCACAAGGCACAAAGACTGTACTCACATGACCCCTTCAACCCAAATAATGGGTGTCAGCTGGTACTCACCATACCGCAAGCTATATACCGCCTATAACCCAGCCAACGCCAACGCCAAGCCTCTGCTTTAGGCCTTCATGCCCACCGGGAGACCCAAGGCCCCCCGAAGCCTTTGCCGCAGGTCATCCAGAAAGATATCCATGCCCATTTCTGACAGGTGGATCCCATCCTGCCGATACAGCTCAGCCCTCCCTGGATGGATAGCTGGGTGAGGCAAGAAGATGCCCAAACCACCCTCAACAATCCTCTGCAACTCTCTATTTGCCTTCCAGCGAGCCTTGTCAATGGCCAACTGACTAATCACTCCACGCCAGACTCTACGCGGTGCGATCACCGACCACACAATGCGGGTATCCGGCCATCGCCTGCAGATCAGCTGAAAATAGTCACAGGCCTGCAGGATAAACGCCTTCCCTTTTACTAAGCCCCAAATCATTTTTGCCTAAATGAATAACTAAAATCTGTGGCGGAGGGCCGACCTTCTCCTGGAACAACAACTGCAGAAGGCCCGACCACTGCAAACCATGGTGCCCACGCCACTCAACAGCTGCCCACTGGCTAAGGTCCAGCTGTGTGCCAATCAGCGTTCATCTGGCACAGTGAGCCACACACACAAAAAAACTGTGCCCGCAGATTAAAACCGTCTTCCTCTCCTGCCAGGCAATCAAACCTAGAATAGAAAAAACAGTTAAATGAGGCATTGGACAAAAACTGTGCCAATAGGCTGCTAACGTCCCAACAATGGACGAACATAACCCT